TGAGTTGCAGTTGCAGTTGCAGTATCAAACAACGCCCTCCCTTGTCTAAGCCACCGCCATACCCCCATGGCGTTTATAAACTACTTGGAGACCAAGCCATCCACCAGAGTTAGGTTAAAGAAACCGTGGTTAAGTTAAACAACTCAACATGGTTCCATTTTTAAACTCCGTTAAAAAAAAATAACGGAGACGGGGATTCTCTGGTTGCCTCCAGTAGTTACCGCGGTTCTAGAGAGTTCCACGAACGCAGATATTCGAAAATCACAGTAACCTGAAGCTCCACGTGGCAAAATCCTATGGTCGCTTTGGTTCATCGGACGCTCACCGCAGTCTTAATAAATTTGCATTTCACATAATTAATAACACCATTAATATCCCCACTTACATAACCATACAAAATTAAATACAGCTGACACCGGAACTTAATCTAATAATAATAAAAATAATAATAAGAAAACCAAAAAAAAAAAAAGTTAAAAATATTTAATTATGGTAGATATTTATGTATGTATATACGGAATTAAAGAAAAAAAATAAAAAAAGAAAAAGAAGAAGAGAAGGGGATAGTGACAAAAGGTGGGAGAGAGTGAGCATAAAGAAAGGCAGGAGGAAGAGATGTCGGTAGTGATGGAGCAGGGACACTTGGCGGCCTCAAAGGAGGGGTGGGTGCCCTTTATTGCGGCACGTAGCCCCTTTCTCCCATGCCTACGCCTGCCCTTTTCTCACTGCTTCCACTGCATTCTATACCCCACCCTCCTTATATCAATTTATTACTTTTTAGTTTCTTTTTTTTTTTTTAATTACAATTTTGCTTTTTTATTTAAATATTTATGTTTTATTAAAATTCTCATAATTAAACTACTAAATTTAGAATTTAATTTTAAATTATTAGTTCATCCATTAAGTATGTTTAAATCTATTAAAAAAGTAAAAAATATATTTTTTTATGTACTCATCCAAATTATCAAATTCTCCTCCATTTTAATTATTAATATAACATTTTTTAATAATAAAAAAAATAACTCAATAGTTTAATTTGAAAATAGGACGGTTGTAAATTTAATTTGGAATGCATATTTTGACAGAAAAACAAGACTAAACGACAATGAATAATTATGTCACAACATTATTATTTTTACCATACAGAAACTAAATTTATTTTTATTTGACCATATATATATATATATATATATATTTGCAAATAAAAAAAAAAAAAAAAAAAAAAA